AAATTTAACACCCGTCACCCTTGAACTTGGTGGCAAATCGTAAGTGCCAAATATAGTAAACAGCATGTATATAAATATATATATATATATGTACGTTGTCGTGACATATTGTTTGCTCTTAATTCTAGTCCTGCTATTATTGCATCTGATGCTGATATTCAAGTAGTTGCAAATCGCATTGCTTTTGGCAAATTCTATAATGCTGGACAGGTATATCATGAGTATACAACTTCAACCAAATTTAAAATACTTATACTCCGTTATGTAGATTTGTATTGCTGTAGACTATGTTCTCGTACCCAAAAAACACTTGAATGAATTTGTTTCTGCTATTCGCAAAACAATCAATGAATGGTATGGCTCTGATCCTCAAAAGTCTGCAAGCTATGGCCGTATTGTCTCTGATAGACATGCCAGTCGCATTGCCTCCTTGTTGAATAACCGTGAGAGTGGTGAAATTGCTATCGGAGGTGATGTCAACATTGCAGAACGATATATTTCACCTACTGTTATCACTAATGTTAACATTAATGATAAGACATTGATGGGTGACGAAATATTTGGTCCCATTTTGCCTATCGTTACTTATGAGAGTTTGGATGATGCTATTGGCATGGTAAACAAGAGGTATGTGATTAAGAACCAATTGCCATTTTTTTTTTTTTTTTTTACTGCTGATATTAAAAAACCACTTTAGAGAACCCCCTTTGGTCCTCTATGTCTTTGCCAAAGACAAAAACTTTGTAGAAACAGGTAGGATAATTTTATACATTTGTTTATATTGATCTTTATCATTGAAATGGATATTTATAGTAACACGCCAAACTCAATCTGGCGGTGTTTGTGTTAATGATTGTTTGGTACACCAGGCTGGTAGGTTTATTTGTACTTTTAGTCAATCTATATATCGCTAATTGTTTTCTCTTCTTAAAAAGAATATGCCTTACCCTTCGGTGGTGTTGGTAATTCTGGTATGGGCAACTACCATGGTGAAAAGTCATTTGATACTTTTACACATGAACGCGCTATGCTAATTAAGAAGCAAAAGATGGAAGGCATGAATGGAGTCAGATATCCTCCTTACACTGACCGCAAATATAATATTCTTCGTTTTGTTCTTCTTAAACATCCTTTTATGATTTGGTTGAAGGCTTATCGTCGTCCTTTGAAGCTTTTAGCTATCCTGGTTATTTTGGTTACCGCATATTTGAGAAGAAGATAAATGTGTGTGTATGAACATGACAAGATAACAAAATAAATTATATGTTTACTTTTATACTATTATCAAACTTGTGACCAACCAATAGGTGACTTTTACTTTATCAGATATGATGTTATTATTTACGTTTTCACTAAAAATATTAACAATAAATAAACAAGACTTCTAATATCAAAAGGGACGATCTGTCCAGATTAAGTGATGGAGCGGACTCATTGATAACTGATAGTAGATAAGGAAAGTAAACCCTATCTATTTCATAGCTAGAAAACGAACCCTTGATTTGAGGATTCATTTTTTTTAAAAAAAAAAAAGTGTTTATTTTTCCCCTTTCTTGAAAACAATAAAAGTCAAAAAAGGGTTGTCCACAAGACATGTGTTTATTAAAGTACTTATCACATTCATTTCAATGACATAACTCCATATCAGCCATCGCTAAATAAATCTGACTTTACGTACCTGTTTCGTTGAAAAAAAAGGGGCGCATGTGACCTACATGTTTTTCACACGGTTTGATTGGGCCAGCTATGCATTAGGCAACTGTTCCATAAAAGTTAATAACAAGAACAAAAAAAAAAGTTATAAAAAGACAGTTTCATCTGATTATAAAATGTTTGTTTTTTTTTTTTTTGTTTCCTGTATAAACAGACATTTAAAATATGACTCAAACACACCGATTTTTGAAGACCAAGGAAGTATCCGTTATTGGCGTACCCTTTAATGGCGGCCAACCACGCAAGGGAGTAGAACAAGGTCCTATGCGTCTTGTTGAATTTGGCTTATTGAACCAGATTGAGGAAATGGGATGGACCGTTGACTATGAAGGCAATGAGAATATCACTTCACTCAGACCCTCTGAAGACCCTGATGTTCTCAAGTTGAAGCAGCCAAAGTATGTGTCTGCCGTGACAAAGCATGTCTCTAAGCAGATCTATGAGAGCGCGTCTAAAGGTAATTTTGTTTTGACTTTGGGTGGTGATCACTCTGTTGCTTTGGCTACTGTATCTGGTGTTTTCAGCGCATACCCTGATGCTTGTATTGTATGGGTAGATGCTCATGCTGTAAGTATTCCTCTCTTTTTTTGACATATGGGTTTAAATGTCTAAGAGCTGTATTTTCTCACATATAAAAACACACTCATTTTTTAGGATATCAACACACCGGAGAGTACAGATTCAGGAAACATCCACGGATGTCCACTTAGCTTCCTCACTGGTATCGCTGGTAACCACCCTGATTTTGACTGGGTGAAGCCTTTGCTAAAGATCAACCGTTTAACCTACATTGGTTTACGCGATCTTGATGGTGAAGAAAAGAAGATCATCCGACAATTAGGTATCAAGGCATTCACCATGCATCATGTAGATCGTTATGGTATTGGAAAGGTAGTTGAAATGGCCCTCGATCATGTGAACCCCAACAGAGAATTCCCTATACATCTCTCTTTTGATGTTGATGCGTTGGATCCTACCGTTGCTCCCAGCACTGGTACACCCGTTCGTGGTGGTTTAACATTCCGTGAAGGACATTATATCTGTGAGGCTATTGCTGATACTGGATTACTGGTGGCTGCTGATATCATGGAGGTCAATCCTGCTTTAGAGGACACCAAGGCTGTGTTTGAAACCGTCCAGGTTGGTTGCTCTCTTGCACGCTGCTGCTTGGGTGAAACTTTACTATAGATATACAATGTTTAATTACCAATTTTTTTTCCCCTTTATTCCCACTAATATTATTTTTTGTTATTTTTATCATATTCTTCTTTAAATAAACTGAGATGAGCTTGTAATTCTTATTAACACTAATTAATCTGATATACTTTTTTTTTCTTTAATTTAATTTGGGATTTTGATGAACTCATTTTTATTTCTCACGGTTTTTTTACAAATCGGGACGGCAGAGGTTTTAAAGTTTTCAAGAGATCAGGATCCCGTTGAACATATCATAATCAGTGATAATTTAGATAAAACAAGAACTGGTATGATATCAGTGACAATAATGAACCCAATTTTCTCACGACCCTACCGTTATCATTTCCGATCAATCTGATATAAATGCATCCTGCTTGCAACGTTTCACTGCCTAAATAGTAGGAATAAATATTATTAAAAACGAGGAGAGAAATGCACTGATAAAAAGGTTGACAAAACTTATTAATAATATCATCTCTGCCCTTTGAATAAAGCAGAAAAGCCGATGTAACTCTAGCCAAGTCATTGGCCTCTTTGTCCGATGTTCTAGAATAGAAAAAGAAGTACTATGAGATGCGTGTTATGTTTAACAGGATCTTGGTATATTATAATAAAAAATAGAATATAAAATAGTATACTCTTACTATTGAATATACCACTGTGGGTACTTTTGTTATTTTTGACTATTTTTATTGCTTGTTACACATTTGCTGCATTACTTTGATTTAAACTTACCACGCCTCCTTTCCGTTCAACCTCTTTCTCAATCTCGGTTTTTTTATATACTTAGCTTGAAATATGGCTCTATTTCAACAACTCTCATGATATGCTTCAATAGATTCGTGCATTTTCATTTGAAGGTTGTAGAAACACACATATCATTCAATTTGAGCATAAAATTCATGTGTTCGCAAAGTGAGATACACAATAACTGTGCGAAAATTTTAATTTCTCACGGGTCTACTAGTAATGTCATTTGTTAATAAAACTTTATTTTAATCTTCTCTTTTGTCCCTTTTTACGTCGTATTTGGGATGCAATAATAATGCTCCTTGTCAAAGACTAAGTTACTGATTTCGAATAAATTAACGTTAATAGTTCTAACTAATGGGAAAGTATGCATTATAATAATAATAATAAAGACTGCAAAATAAAAGAAACCATGGCGACAAACAATAAAAAAAAGGCAGTGGGCACTTCTGAGTGCTTCATAAACCTAGCCTAACTAAAAGAATATGTGATAAAAATCACCATTATTTTTCTGCTTCTGATCCATTTAGAACCAACTGATAAGTCTAAAGACAATCAAGACAAAGTTGCTGAATGAGTATATATGGCGTCATTGCGGCTTCAGCTCAAATGATGCTATTATAATTTTCTTCAACATTTCACCTTTTAAAGATATCACATTTTTATTTGCTAACCGAGGTTACTGGAAGTTCTGCTTTTGCTTATTTTTTTCCTTTTTTGCATAGAAAAACAATCCTAAATAAATAATAAAGACGTATTTTTTGACATGAATTTATTTTTGGAATTGTTGAGAAAGAAAAATCTTAGAATAATTATCGGTTTATGGATAAAATCCTTTGTGAGATACTTTATAAAAATGTCACCATTTAATTGCTCCAAATTACACTTTTATCATTATATTTAAATAGACAGTAAATTGTAGCGTCTTTGAAAAGCAAGCTCATCGGTACCACCAACTTTACATGTCTCGGAGAGGTAAAAGAAAAAAAAGGTATTCATTGGTAAATGATGCTTCATAAAAACCCATTAATTATACAATAAAATGCCTGTAGAATCATTTATCTACTTTAGAGATATTGTATTCCAGATTGTAGCAACATAAAACAAACAAATAAATCAAAAACTTACACTTTACCTTCTTGGTTACTTTCAGATAAAAGAAATTGCACTCGTTTTCTTCGAAATTGATCACTGTACCTCTGAGCTGAATTTCTGTTTTAAGACTAAGAAAGTCCTTTTTATCCAATCAAAAGCAAAAAAAAAAAAAAAGGATGCCGTCATGTCGTGCGCTTAGTAAAAATGTCGGACACATTAAACATAATTTTAAATTTTACAAGCAAGGTTTCGTGATGTAATGGTTAGCATGTAAGACTTTGAATCTTGACATCCGAGTTCGATCCTCGGCGAGACCTTCTCTTTTAACTTTCTCAACTTGTCTCCACGTTGAAAAGATTAAGTTTTTTTTCTTCGTCCACAAAGAGAAGAGCCACATTTTTTACTTCAATTTACTCTGTCAAGCTCAAAAGGCTCCGTAAATTGCAACGAGTATAAGAAATATAAAGTGTTATTAATAATTCTCTTATATAAATATACCTTATATATAAGAAAGATGTTATATACAGCTCAAGGATAGCTTCAATAATGAAAAGAAGAAGTAGACTTCAGTACTACTAAACAGAAATAAAGGGACTAGTACTTTGCCAACGTTTAGAGTAAGAAGGATATAAGTATTGGTAAACTTAAAAATAATAAAGAAAATACATGAACACCTCACTTTAATACCAACCTTTCCAAAAGCCAGTAATTGAACCAGTAATTATATCATTATTCTGCAAAGTTTAAGTAGAGATCATCGTAAACTCGCCTCTGAATGCAAGTACAATTCAAATTCACTAGAATACATTAAAAAGGCATGATATATTTAAAATACGAATGAAACCTACCCCTCATTATATAAAATTCAAGGATTCCTTTTGAGTTTACTTGAATGTTAATTAGGAAACGTTAAGTACATAGAAAAGCACTTTAGTACACTCGAATACTGATATGAATTATTTGAATCCTACTTGATAAAGTTCTAATTAAAGATATTTGACAGTGTATATAGGAGAGCCAAAAATTTGGTAGTTTTGGCTATCATTTGGCTGGGTAGTAGTACTCAAGCATGTTACAGTTCCTTTAGGGACACATTCAGCTGACAACAATGATCATGATATTAATAGAAGTCAAACAAATGAACTTTCTAATAGTTTCAGTGATGTTAGAGTAAAGATAGAAACAGCTACCGAAGATAGAGATTCTACATCTTGTAGACTTGAAAATAAAATAAAAAAAGGTGTCATTTAATGGTATGTAATTGTTAAATATACTTGGTTATAATGTATATATCATAAATTCAGATAGAATCGTTTTATTGATACTGTCTAGTTGCTTATTTTATTTTGTCATATAGAGAGTTACATCACTTGATGGGACGTGAAAAGATAAAAAATTAAAAATACTTTTTTTTTGTATTTGAAAAGTCAAATTTTGAGGTGAAATAGGTCCTACAAAAACAAATGACAAATTTACCATTTCCAGTAGTAGAAAAGCACTTATACTTTACTTAAAGCATAAACATTTCCTTTATAATATAGCATTGAATTTACTAATGAAGAAAAGACTGTGAAAAATCCTCATTTATCTATCATTTATATTCTTGCGTTGTCTGAAATAAATCAGGCGGATATTCAAGTAGTCTTCTTTTTCATGTAAAAACACATCAAGTAAAATCGTTCTCTATCTCTTCAAGAAACTTAGAAAAAATGAGCCACATTTTACCTTTTGAAGTCCTATTTGTAATATCCACAGCTATTTAAATAGGATCAATTTTAGTCCTAAAATGGCTTCTGGAAGAACATACCCGGATCTAAGAATACTTAGCATCATGAATGAACATGTTGGTGACCAAACATTTCAGTACATTAAAAGGGCTATACCTAATCTAGAGGTGCTTTATTGGATGATGGGTTACAATCATACGGATATGGATCTCACTAGATGGGATTTTTACAAGTGCGAATTATTAATTTCATCAAAGAAGGAGACAGAAAATTGTAGCGTTACAATACAAGGAGCAACAAAAGAACTTTATATTGGCCTTAAAAGAAAACTTTGTTATCAGATCCTATATCTAACTTTCTATTTGGTAAAAGAGGATTTACACTCACTTGTAATTATATCAAACATCTCAAGGTCTGTGGTTTTAAAACTGAAAAGCATGAAGATGAAATAGCAGTTGTGTTATAAAATGAATTTACAGTTTATTATTAATAAAAATAATAAAAGAATAGCTGATTAAATTTAACTATGGTGCATTTCTTTTATAATAGCCCAAACCTTAATTTATTTCAAATTTTTTAAAATGAAAAAATGGCTGTGATTTTAAAAAATGCCCACTTCTTTTTGCTGCTTGAGCTGATCATGATATAGGAATTACTCGTGATATAAATCCTTTTTCAAGATGATGACCTGTTGATGATGGTCATTATGAAATGTGTATTTCAAACTCTTAAGAAAGTGAAGTGTTTACTACTAAAAGTTAATTGATGGACCACATTGGAAGTGTATCTACTCCATCAAAACCAGTTTATAGAAGATGTGCTCCATGAAAAATAAACTTTAAGAACCTTCTTAATGTCATCTATAGAGTAATTTTTGAAAAAAATATTTGGGAGACTAGATAGATTTTGAAAATCACCTAAATTTGGGCTTTTATAAAAGAAACACATCGTTTCATTCATTTTATAATCGATTTTGTCTTTGTATATCAAGCTACAATCATCAAATTATATTGACGAGATCAGTGTTTTATTTTTCTATTTTAAATACTATATTTGGAATATAAGAAGCAAGCTTTGATAAAGATGTACAGTAAGTCTTTAAAGCTGAATAAAATTTATTATAAAGAGCATAGAATAGGGTACAAGATATATTTACACTGCTGTAATATTCACATATTTTTGAATGCCATTTGTTCTCAACGCATCATCCGTTTATTATTACTATCAATGTAAGAGCTGGAATTAACAGTTTATTAGACTTTCGTTGGATAACACTCATTTTAATTCTATAAAAAGCAATTTATAAAGTTAGATATTAACTCTAAAGAGTCCCTTCTATATCGTAAAATATGAAATGAGAGAGTAATGTACCAGATAATTGCTTCTACAAGTGTAAGCTGGACTATAATGTTAATAAGAGTGCAAATTAAGAGAGAAAAATAACTCTAACTACTTTAGTTAACGCAGCAAATTTATTAAATATAAGAAGCAGTTAAATAAATTAAGATCAAAGGTTTATTATAAAATGGCAGACCGTATTTTTTCATTACTATTTACAATGGCAGAGTCCAACGCGTTTCATTTTTTTTTCTTTTTTTTTTTTTTTTTGCATGAATTCAAATCGAGGTCATTCTCTATTCCGATTGGATGTGCCCTAGCGCAAAATAAATCTTAGCGATTTCGACCAATGAGAATACATAAAAATGGACAAAACCAATACTCCTTCAACAAAGCAACAAAGTGCTCACTCTGTTAATGCCCGATAAAATTTCTATTCAAACACGCTTTTTGTTTCTCTTTCCCTTTCGGAAAACCAAAAAATTACTTGCCATTCTCCCAGTTACATACAAAAGCACACACGCCCTTTATCGCTCTCCCCAACAAAGAAGATTACTTCTTTTTATTATCTTCTCAATGCAATAAAAATAAGCAAAAAAGAAGGATACTGTAGCATTTTATGCGATGTCTGGAGAGTCAAACCTTGGTAATATTGAATAAAAGGGTTGAAAAAGAAAATGTAAGCAAAAAGTGTTACCAGGTTTTTCATTGATAGAGAGCATCTATAAATACCCCCCAAGTTTATTTTTTTTTCTCTTTTTTTCTCTTTGAGTTGAGTTTTTATTATTTTTATTCTGCTTGGATAATGCTTTTTTCTAATCAGTTTGATCGTTTTATCAATTGATTCTGTAAGTATTCATTTTATTATTTATTTATTCAATAAATATAATTTGATTGGTTGCTCATTTATATAAAGCTTTACTCATTTTATTCTTATTTTTAAGCAGGTGGCAGCCGGCCCTACTATAAGGGTAAGTTGACATGTTTAATTTGCAGGAATTTATACTCATTTTGTTTATATTTTATTTCAAATAGGTGTTTACAGCAAAAAAGAAGGCCAAAATAATAGAGGTAATGTGCCCCAGATAGTTTAGTACCGCGTCCCAACACATGAACGCTACGGTTGAATTTGATGATCTTTATAAAATGCACTTTAACACCTGGTTGAACGATGAGATCGTCAATTTTCACATGGTCTTATTAAGAGACAGAGATGAGAGCAGCTAAGCCTTACCCAAGGTCCATTGTCTTAGCACCTTTTTCTACGATGCTTTAAAAAAGAGTCATTCAGAGATTCATCGATAGGCGACAAAGGTAAGTACATTTATATAGAAAAGTATAGAGTAAAAATAAGGTATATAATCTATTTATACATCTATTTTTAGGTGAATCTCTTCATCAATGATATTATACCCGTTCCAATGAATGAGTCTTATCATTGTGTATTAGGTGTAGTCGACAGAAGCAAGAAGCGCATCTCTGTCTACGATTCCTTGGGTGGACGCCACCCTACAATGCTCATGAGGCTCTGAAACTACCTTGAGCACGAGCATCAACATAAGAAGAAAACACCATTCGGTTATACAGAATAAGAGTTTAAGACACTCAAGAACGTCCCACAGCAACACAACCCATCGGACTGTGGTGTCTTCACCTGCTTATCTGCAGAGAGATTGACTCGGAGAGGCGAGATGGATTTCTATCAAAAGGATATTCCAGTGTTACGCCAGGGCATGGTGCTTAATATACTCAACAAGCGATTGTAATTCGATGTTGAATTATAAAATGATGGTAGGGAGGTTGTGGTGGCAAAAAAAAAAAAAAAAAAAGCTAAAAATCACTAAAAAAACAGAAATAAAACATACCCGTTATCCAACGACAAGCCTGACAGAGGATTTAAAAAGCTTTGCCAATACAACCATAACTGCTAAAAAAAACTCTCAACTCGGTGAACAGTTGAATATATCAACAGCAAGAGCAATGCGCACTCTACAAGCTGCCTTGGATAGACTGGATGCCTCGATAGCACGGGAATATCACCAAAATATCAGTTTACCAAGGGCCTATTATTGGACTTACAGCGGAAACTAATCAAATCCATGCCAACACTACTGTAGCAACCCAACTTGTTGGCACATACAATGCATGAAGTGCTCCAATTCGATCGATCTTTGCAGGATGATTTTAGTTATCCAATTATAGACCTATCGGCTAGTATTTTGGAGAATAAGGAATAGTTTAAGACTTGGTTT